TGACCTGGACTTCAAGTCACCTGATGACCCCAGCAGATACATCACCCCTGACCAGCTAGCTGACCTGTACAAGTCCTTCATCAAGGACTACCCAGGTGAGTGCCCAGGGTTGCTGTCTTCCTTCTGCAGCAGCTGACTAGTGATGGCTGGGGGGGGGGGGGGTGCACACTGCGCACTGCATAGGGCTTCCCAGAGGTTCTTGGGGTAGCAGAGGGGTCTTAGGAGATGGTTCTTCAGGTGCCAACGATGACACTCTGTTATAAGTTATTCATGGTGCAGTTACCTCCCCATCCCTGGTGGCAGCTTTGTGGGGCAGGTGCAGTCTGTGCCCCATTGTATAGACACGGAGCCAGCCTTGAGAATCACGATGGCTTCTTGTTACCGAGCTGTATTGTGCTCCCTGGGAACTGGGCTTCATTCTGGGTCTGTGCATCTTTTAATGCCCAAAGGTTAGGGACTGTTACTACCATTTTACAGCAGAGGAAACAGACATAGAGTGGTCCAAGGTCGTGCAGCAAGTGATGGAGCAACAATCCAAACCAGGAAGTCTGACTCCAGAGTCCATGCGTTTTACCCACACACTACGTAACATGGTCAAGGTTGAGTTGTAACCCACTCTGCTGAGTCCATGGCTCTGCTCTTCTTCTCAGTGGCACTAAGCTCAAACTACCTTAGTGATCTCCCTTTTTTTTTTTTTAAATTTAATTTTCTTAAATTTCGAATTAATATGAGGGTACAAACAATTGGCTTACATTGTTTGTGTTTGTTAAGTAAAGTTCAAGTTGTAGTTGAGCCCTTCACCCAGGCGTGTCATGTACCCTTACATTGTGCCCTTAGGTGAGAGTTTACCAAACCTCCTCCGCTCCCTGGTCTCTTTTAGAAAAAGAAATCATTGGGGCATGCACGCTCGCACCAGTGGCTTGCACCTGTAATCCTAGCACTCTGGGAGCTGAGGTGGGAGGGTCTTTTGAGCTCAGGAGTTTGAGACTAGCCCAAACAAGAGCAAGACACCATCTCTAAAAATAGCCGGGCATTGTGGTTAAACTCTTAAGCCCAAGAGTTTGAGGTTGCTGTGAGCTGTGACAGCACAACACTCTACCAAGGGCAATATAGTGAAACTGTCTCAAAATAAAAAAGAAAGAAATCTGTGGCCCAGGGTTGTGGGGTTTTGTGTCCTGCTGCAGGAGTGGGCTGGTGCTTCTGGGATGAGGTGGGGAGCTCCTGCCCTGCAGGGGCAAGCGGCATGGGGCCAGGCAAGCAGCAAAGCAGAGGAAGTGAGGGCCTTGCAGTTGAGCAGAGCAAGGGCCACACTGAGGTAGCTTGTCTCTCCTTCCTTAGTGGTGTCTATTGAAGATCCCTTTGACCAGGATGACTGGGAGTCTTGGCAGAAGTTCACTAGTAGTGCAGGAATCCAGGTGGTAGGCGACGATCTCACGGTGACCAACCCAAAGCGGATTTCCAAGGCTGTGAGTGAAAAATCGTGCAACTGCCTCCTGCTCAAAGTGAACCAGATCGGCTCCGTGACTGAGTCCCTTCAGGCGTAAGTGTCCTCCCAGGACAGCAGCTTTCACACAGCTGGAGGTTATGAAACAGAACTAGGGCGCCTCTGTTCTGGTGTCAAGAGTCCTGCTGGCGGGAGCTTAGCACACTCCGGAATTGTAACTGGTTTCATGTTTGAGAGCCAGGTGCCTTTTGAAGTGTGGCGTAGCACTAAGGGGACTTGGGTGTTGAGTGGTGAGGCCAAATCCTAACTCCTCACGGCCCTGGGTGTGTGGCTGGATTTCACTGGGGAAAGTTGTTCAGTAAGGCTGGGCGTGGGCGTGGTGGCTCACACCTGTAATCCTAGCACTGTGAGAGGCTGAGCTGGGTGGATTGCCCTGACCTCAGGAGTTTGAGACCAGACTGAGCAAGAGCAAAACCTTGTCTCTAAAAATAGCCGGACATTGTGACAGGTGCCTATAGTCCCAGCTACTCAAGAGGCTGAGGCAAGAGGATCACTTAAGTCCACCCAAGAGTTTGAAGTTGCTGTAAGCTAGGACACCAGGGCACTCTACCAGAGGTGACAAAGTGAGACTTGTTGAGAGCTCTGTCTCCTGTCCAGTGCCCCTCCGTTGGTCTCCTGCCAGCAGTGGAGACTAATGGTATCAGGAAATGGGGTCGTGCCATCTGGGGTGTTCTTGGCTTCCAGGTGCAAGATGGCCCAGTCCAATGGTTGGGGCGTCATGGTGTCTCATCGTTCCGGGGAGACTGAAGATACCTTCATCGCGGACCTGGTGGTGGGGC